TCCTGGCTTCATAAAAGGAATTTGGGAGTCTTCCCTCTTCTTTAATTTTTGGAATAGTCTGAGAAGGATAGGGGTTAGTTCTTCCTTAAATATTTTGTAAAGTTCTCCTGTGAAAGTGTCCAGTCCAGGGCTTTTGTGTGCCAGGAGTTTTTTGATTACTGCTTCAATTTCATCAGCTGTTATTTCTCTGTTTAAGATTTCTGCTTTTACTTGATTCGGTTTTAGAAGATTATATTTTTCTAGAAATGTGTCCATTTCACCCAGGTTTTCAAATATCTTGGCAAATAGTTGTCACAGTAATTTCTTAAAATCCTTTGTATTTCTGTGGTATCACTTGTAATTTCTCCTCATTCTTCTGATTTTATTTACTTAGATGCTCTTTATTTTCCTGATGAATCTACTGAAAGACTTGCCCATTTTTTTTATATTTTCAAACAGCCAGTTTCTTGATTTATTGATCCTTTGAATTGTTCTTTTATTCTCTATGTTGTTTGATTATGCTCTGATCTTGGTTATTTCCTTCCTTCTATTTGCTCTGGGCTTTGTTTGTTGTTTTGCCTCCAGTTCTTGTAGATGCAGGGTTAGGTTGTTTATTTGAAATGTTTGTATCTTTTTTAGGTAGGGTCTGTCTCTATAAACTTCATGTCTCAGGACTGTCTTCCCTGCATCTCATAAGTTTTGGACTATTATGTGTTTATTTTCATTTGTTCCCAGAAACTTTTTGATTTCTTCTTTGTTCTCATTATTAACCCATTCATTTTTTAATAGTATACTATTCCATCTCCATGTTTTGAGTGTTTTTGAGTTTTTTCCTTGAAGTTGGTTTCTAGTTTCAGGCCCTTGTGGTCTGAAAAGATGCTTGATATGATTTCAGTTTTTTTAATATGTTGAGGCTTGTTTTGTGTCCCGTCATATGGTCTGTCTTTGAAAATGTTCCATGTCCATCTGAAAAGATAGTATATTTTGCTTGTTTGGGATGAAATGTTATATATCTGTTAAGTCCATTTGTTCTTGGGCGTTGTTCAATGCTGCAATATCCTTGTTGATATTTCCTTTAGAAATTCTGTGCATTTTTGACAGTGGGTATTAAAATCCCCTAGTATAAGTGTATGACTGCCTCTATCCTTATTGAAGTCCTCTAAGATTTTCCTTATATATTTGGGTGTTCCTATGTTGGGTGCATATATGTTTACAATGTTTATGACTTCTTGATGGATTCTTCCCTTACATATAATGAACATGTCCTGTGTCTCTTTTTATGGTGTTTGTTTTGAAGTCTAGTTTTTCTGATATAAGTTGCTATCCTGGTTTTTTTTCCCTGTACATTTACTTGGAATATTTTTTTCCAACCTTTAACTTTCAGTCTGTGTAGGTCCTTTGTTCTGAGGTGTGTCTGTTGTTGACAAGATAAGTATAGGTCAGGTTTTCTTATCCATTCAGCTACTTTATGTATTTTGATTATAGCATTTAATCTATTTACATTGGAGGTTATAATTGGTAGGTACTTATTCATTTTCCCCATTTGTTCCTGTGTTCCTCTCTCTCACACTGTTTTTCTTCCTCTTCACAAGGTAGTCCCTTTATCATGTCTTGCAGTACTAGTTTGGTGGAGGTGTAGTCTTTTAGCTTTCTTTTTTCTAGGAAAGACCTTATCTTGCCTTCCATATTAATTGGTAGCCTTGCTGGGTAGAGTAATGTTGGTTGCAGGTCTTTGCTTTTCATTACTTGGAATATATCTTGTCATTCCCTTCTGGCTTGTAGTGTTTCTGTTGGGAGATCAGCTGCTAGCCTTGTCTTGACTCCCTTGTGTGTTACTTTCTGTTTCTTCCTTGCTGCCTTTAAGATTCTCTCTTTGTCACTGAATTTTTCTCTTTTAATTATTATGTGTCTTGAAGTAGGTCTCTTTGATTTCCTCTTGATTGGGACCCTATGTGCTTCCTGGATTTGTGTGACTTTCTTTCTCATCAAATTAGGGAAGTTTTCCATCATTCCTTTTTCAAACAGGTTTTCTATTTTTTGGTTCTTCTCTTCTCCTTCTGGTATCTTTATTATATGGATATTATTATAATTCATGCAGTCCTGTAGTTCTCTTAACCCCTCTTCATTCTTTTTGAGTCTTTTTTTCTTTCCTTGCTCTTTCTGGGAGGTTTTTTCTACCTTTTCCTCCAGCTTACTGATTCGATCCTCTGCTTCATCTAGCCTGCTTTTGATTCCTTCTGCTATGTTCTTTAATGAAGAGATTTTATATTTTGTCTCCTCCTAGCTCTTCTTGTTTGTTTCTGTGTCCTTTTTCATGCTGATATAGTTTGCAGTAAGTTCCTCATAGATTCTCTGTAGTTTTTGGTAATTCTCGCTGAGCTCATTTAGCCTCCTTATAACTATTGTTTTAATCTCAATACCTGATAGTTGACTTACCTATATTTCATTTAGCATTCTTTCTGAGGATTCCTCCTTTCCTTTGGATTGGGGGTTGTTTCTTTATCTTCCCATTATTTGGGAGACTCTTTTTGTTTGCTTCTCCTTCATAAATTGATCTGTTTTGACTCCCTGAGTTTGTGGTATCAACTTCTATGGTAGAAGAACTGTGAGATTCAGTGATGCAGTGTCCTTGATCTCCTGAACTTGATTCTCTTGGTAGACACTTTATGCCATTTATGTCGGCTCTCTGGATGTAATTGGGTTTTGATAGTTGTTGGGTTGTTCTTTGGTGGGTCCTTCCCTCTAGCTTGTTGAGTGACGATCATTCTGCCCACAATGTCTTGTATGCTCTTGTCCATATGCTGCCAGAAGAAAACTATAAAGCCCAGGAAACAAACCCATGTCCATAAAAATCACTTCTTCCCCACGAGATCCCATCATGAACAGCAAATGAGACAGTATTATAAGGGTATAAAGAGAGAAAACTATTATAAGAAATGAGAAAAATAAACTATAGTATAAAATCTAGTAACTTAATATGTACAAACTTGAAGGACAAGAAGTGAATGTTAAAAAGCTAGGGAGGAAAAAAATATCGTAAATCATGGAGAAGACCACAGTGGATTTCATCTCAGTAGCCTTTAGTATTTACCTGTTTTTTCTTTCTTGATCCCCCTCCGGTGATGTCAAATGTTGACCCTGTCTGACCTTAAGTAGCCTGATCTGAGACTGCCAAGGATGTATTGTCTGTGGCTGTCACCTTCAATTGTTAATGTGGTCACTCCGCACTTAGCAGTCAGGCTTAAGCCCCATAGGTTGGGGCAGAATTCCTCCTGAGGTCAGGGCTACTGTTTCCCATTAGGCTGCTGCTGCTTGAAGGGGAGTGGTCTGCCTAAGCAGAATGGCTGCTGCCATATGGGGGATGACTCAGCACCAGGATCCTTGCAGCTACTCTCTCTGTTCTCTCCCCAAAGCCTCCATCCCCAGTCTCTCTTCAAGTGTCTCTAGCCTACTCTTCCCTCCCTTTGTCAGTGATCTACTCTCTGTGGCTGACTACTTTGGTTGTTAATCTACTCATTCTGCACCCAGCAGTGAGACTTAAGCACCACAGAGCTAGGGCAGAGTCCCTCTTGGGGTGGGGGCTGTTGTTTCCCCTCAGGCTGCTGCCACTCGTAGGGCAGTGGCCTGCCTAAACACAGTGGCTACTGCCATATGGGGGATGACTCAGCACCAGGATCCCAGGGGCTACTCACTCAGTTCTCTTCCTGAAGCCTCTATCCCTAGTCTTTCCTCAGGTGTCTCTAACCCACTCTGTTTCCACCTTTGCTGGAACCCAGGGTATGTGCTGCAAAGGAAATTTGTGTGTTCAGGAAAGGGACAATTGTCTTTGCCCACCTTTCTGTCTAGGAGAAAGCTGTCCCCTAGCTCTTGCCTTGATGCTAGCTAGACACTTCAGTTTCTCCCTGTACATGATTGGTGCCTTTCAAGCTGCTACTGTGGTGGTAGAGCTCATAGGGAGTGAGTCTGAATAAGTCCATATGTGGTTTCTTTAAGAGGAACTGCTTGGGGTTCCAGAAGTTTCTTCCACTGACTTAATCCCTGCTTATTTTTGCAGTCAGAAGTTATAGGGACTTATCTTCCTGGCACTGAAACCTTGCTTGGGGTGGGGGGTGGGGGAGGGGCTCCTGTGTGGCTAGGACTCCTCACTTTCAAGATACCCTGTCCAAATTTTTATTCACCACAAGTGGATGTGGGACCAGACAGTTCCACATCTGCACCCATCCTACCAATCTGGATGGGTGTGGTTTCTTTAATTCCATAGTTGTCAGGCTTCCATTCAACTCAATTTCTTACATTTTGAGTGATGAATTTTCTGTATGTTAGTTATAATTTTGATGTGGTTGTGCAAGAAGGTGAACCATGTTTTCCTATGTCACCATCTTGACCAGAAGTCTAAAAAGTCTTTTATTATACATAACCAATATATTTGTTGAAGTGAAACCACATTAATCTAGACTTCCAATGTGCTAAAAGTTGTTTTTAAGAATGAAGTTGAAAATTATTTTTATTTTAATCAGTATTTTAAATATTTTAAAATTTAAAACTACCTCTGCTTTAGTTTTGCCTTTTACAGTCTGTGGGTCTTTCAGAAAGTCACCTGAATTTTCTGGGTTTCACATATTCACGTGTAAAGTCAGAGTTTTCCAATTTTTTCTTTATTTCCCCCTAGAAACTTAATATTAAATAGTCCTAGACTAGATCCTATAAAAAAAAGTCAAATTGCCTTGGTTTTTATAATTTACTACGTCAAAATATATTCACTTTTTACTAGGACAAATTAATGATAAATAGATACTTAATTGATTAAGAAATCCAAATTTAGAACATTTCTGGTATAATGTTTAAAGTCAACATTAAACATTCAGAAACAAATGAGGATCTAGTGGAAAATGTGCTTTTGTTTAAACTGTTCAGATAAAGAACTAAACAAAAACTTCATTTTATTAATAAATTAAATATAGTCCATGATACAGTCATTAGAAATTATAATTAATAAATTATTATTTTGTATCTTAATGTAGGTGAAGAAAACTGGTCTTGTGGTGGTGAAAAACATGAAAATTATTGATCTTCACTGTTCGAGTGAAGATTTACATGCTGGGAAAATTGCTCTTATAAAACATGGGTCAAGGCTGAAAAACTGTGATCTTTATTTTTCTAGAAAACCATGTTCTGCTTGTTTGAAAATGATCGTAAATGGTAAGTGCAGATAAAGCTTTGTTAGGGATTACTAGCATCTATCTTGAGAATAGTTAGTGAAAACAAATGGAATAAATACCACAGAGGTAATTTAGAAATATATAATGTATCTGAAGACAGTCTCATATACTGTGAGTCAGAAAGCATGGATTCTGGTCTCATCTCTGTCACTAACTAGTTAGATGATGTTTTATGTATTAGTAGACTAATGTTTGCTGCTATAAGGAAACTGTAACATTTCAGTGGCTTAACATACTAGGCATTTATAACCCTTGTACAGTAGTAACCCTTTATTGATGGGGGATATATTCAAAGACCCCCAGGAGAGGCCTCAAACTACAGATAGTACTGAACCCTACATATGTTGTTTTGTTTTGTTGTTTTTTTTCTATGATACATACCTTTTCACCTAAGGGAAGCACTTTACCAATTTTCTTTGGCATATCTGAATTGCCAGCATCTCTCTTGCACTTTGCGGACATTACTAAGTTAAAATAACAGTTATTTGAACACAAGCACTGCGATAGATACTGGAATTCTGTAACAGTCGATCTGATAACATAGGTGGCTACTAAGTGACTAATTAGTGGGCAGTGTATACAGTGTGGAGATGCTGTAGAAAGGGATGATTTACATCCAGGGTGGGATGGAGTGGGACAGGGAGAAATTTCATTACACAACTTAGAATGGTGTACAATTTAAAACTTATGAATTGTTTATTTCTGGAATTTTTTATTTAATATTTGTGGACTATGGTTGACTATGGGTAACTGAAACCACAGAAAGTGAAATTGCAGATAAGGGGTTACAACTGTAATATCCCAATACAGATATTGCTGAACAGCAGATAACTTTCTCCATGTGGTTGATTCATGGGTCTAGGCATCTTCTGTGGTATTGCTGCTGTCATCCCCAAGGACCTTGAGTCCTCTTCATCCAGACTGAGAAAGAAAAATTGAGAAGGCATACCTGCTCTTAAAAATCCTGGCCCATAAGTCACATACATTACCTCTGTTCGTATGCATTGAGGGAACTGTAGTTCCTGACTGGGCAGCTGCCTCCCAATGACTATTTTAGATTTTGAAAAGAGGAACACAAATTATTAATGTATATCTATCCATCTCTGTCATATCAGGCTACTCACTAAACTTCCTTGTGCTTATGATATTTTTTGTCCCCAGTTATGTATGCAGACCATTTTGCTATTTTTTAAAAATTATATCTTTTACATAGGTACTGTGATATTGTGACATAATATGAATTATATATTTGTTCTTCATCCTGTTTCTGTCACAGCACAAGTAAAATCCCTTGGAATTTTCTGAGTGATAAGAGTGAAAAAGGTGTTTATTTATTTATGATTGCTTTTTAGAGCAAGAGGTAGAGAGAGGAAAGGAGAGAGAGAAACATTGATTCATTTTTCCGCTTACTCATGCATTCATTGATTGCCTCTTGTATGTGCCTGGACTGGGAATCAAACACACAACCTCGGTGTATTGGAACAGTGATCTAACCAGCTGAGCTACCTGGCCATGGGCATAACAAGCTCCTTTCAACCACACCCGACTTTCTGTTAATGAAGTGATTTTCGGAAAGCCCTTGTGGATAGGACTTGGTAGCCAGGGGAGCCAACCAGGTAATTAGAGGATTAGAACTTTTCAGCCTTACATTCTAGACCTCTGTGAAGGAGAGAGGGGCTAGAATTTGAGTTCAGTTACCAAAATCAGTGATTTAATCAATCATGCCTTCAGAGAGTGTTTTGGATAAAAAGGATAACATAGTACCTAATCCTTTTCCTTACGGAGTTATTGGGGGCCAAAAATAATAATGCAGTACATCTTCTAGTACCAAATGAGTGATACAGGCTATAAGTGACAGGAGAGTAGAGGAGAAATAGTGATCCCTATAGGTTGGCATGTTATGAAAGGCTAGGGCTTAAGCTGCATTTTGATGGGTCAGAGGTAGAGGAAGAGGAACACATCCCTGGTCAGGGGGGCAGCATATGTGAGATGTAAGGCTCTGGGGAGGGTCATTGTTTCAAATAGATAATTATTCTTGGGGATAAGAGTGGCAGATGGATTATAGTAAGTTGGGGTTTTAGTTGAGAACTTTGGAAAACTGTATGGCCCTTTGGCTTTATCTTGTGGAACAGAGTTCCTAAACTTGTTTTGAGAATGAACTATTTTTATTTACATCAATGTCTTCAGAGTAATGATCCAGGTCAATGGTGAAGGCTGTGCCCTTGAGCTACAAGTGGAAGCACTTGCAGAAGAAATGGTCAGGTGGTTACAACCTCCTGGCCTGCAACAAGTTTTTCAAGCAGGTAGGGTATCTATGATAGTTGTTAGATTCTATAGTCTTTTCCCTGCAGTTACAAGTACAGAAAATATTTAAGGTGGTGATGGCTTTTTTTTTCTTCTTTTCCCAATTAACTGGGCAGACTGGATATTTGCTGTATCACTTGTGTTAATTGATCTATAAATCCTATTACAGATAATGTGGAGTCAGCCATTGAAGATTTTTGAGCAGGATATAACAAGATTAAAACTATTATTATTCTTTTTTGTTATTGAATTGGAGCATGAAAGGACAAGAGGTTGAGAACCTAATTAGGAGACTGTTGCATTAGGCAGGGTATAAAATAGGATTCAGAGGTTGACATTGATATAAAAAGGAAGACTGTGAAAGAACCAAAACATTTTTTAACTGGTCTCTTCTAGAGTCAAGGGAAAAAAGTTAGTAAAAGATAGCTGTGTTTTGTGCTGAGTTGGCTATGCTATGAGCACTCTTATTAGCCTCCAAGCATAAGAAAAGTAGTGAAGTGCAAGTTACTGACAACTGCTTAATGTCTTTGTGTTAAGATACTTAAACCAGCCAAGAGAAAGAATGAAATGTGGGAAAATCAGAAAGAACCTACAACAGAAATGCTTTTACGTTAGAGCTAGACCCATATATAAATAAAATTGCTATGTTAGTTTAGGTTTATATATATTTTGGGAAGCAGCTTAGTTTAACTCCGTGCTATTGCTAAATTATTTAAATTACAGTTATTGTTACATAGCAAACATTTCCAAAGCACAGTGGTTCTCAAAGTGTGGTCTGTGGACTCCTGATGTTCCACAAGGTCAAATCTATTTTCATAATACTACTGCATTTACACTAATAGTAGCAGAACAGTGGTGAGTAAAACTACTGTTGCCTAGTAAGAATCAAGGCAGTAGAAATCATTGTACTTTTCATGGCCAAACTGCAGTAGTGGTCACTGTACTCTTTGTGGCTACGTATTTGGAATTAAAAAACAAAAAGGTTTCATTGAACTTGAGTTGGAAGAGGTGAGTCTGGTCTCAAAATGGAGGTAAAACCACTGCCCAGTTGCCCCCAGCCCGACTTTGGCTGTTGCCAGGGGAAGGAGGACCACGGTCCAAAGGAACCAGAGCAATTGAGAAAACTGTTTATTGGTCATTTGAGCTTTGAAACTACAGATGATAGTTTAAGAGAACATTTTTAGAAATGTGGCACACTCACAGATTGTATGGTGATGAGAGACCCCCAAACAAAAAGTTCCGGGGCTTTGGTTTTGTCACTTACTCTTGTGTTGAGGAGGTGGATGCAGCAATGTGTGCTCGACCACACAAGGTTGATGGGCATGTAGTGGAATCAAAGAGAGCTGTTTCTAGAGAGGATTCTGTAAAGCCTGGTGCCCATCTAACGGTGAAGAAAATTTTTGTTGGTGGTCATAAAGAAGATACTAAAGAGTATAATTTGAGAGACTACTTTGAAAAGTATGGCAAGATTGAAACCAAAGGAGTTATGGAAGATAGGCAGAGTGGGGAAAAACAGAGGATTTGCTTTTATAACTTTTGATGATCATGATACAGTTGATAAAATTGTTGTTCAGAAATAACCACACTAATAATAGGCATAATTGTGAAGTGAAAAGGGCCGAAATGCAGTCTGCTGGATTGCAAAGAGGCCGTGGAGGTGGATCTAGCAACTTTATGGGTCATCGAGGAAACTTTGGAGGTGATAGATGTAACTTTGGCTGTGGTGGAAACTTTGGTGGAAGAGGAGGCTATGGTGGAGGTGGCAGCACAGGTAGTTATGGAGGAGGTGATGGTGGATATAGTGGATTTGGAGGTGATGGTGGCAGCTATAGCAGTGGACCTGGTAATAGTAGTAGAGGAGGCTATGGTGGTGGTGGACTGGGATATGGAAACCAAGGTGGTGGTGGTGGATATGGTGGTGGTGGAGGATATGATGCTTACAATGAAGGGTGAAAGTTTGGTGGTAACTACGGTGGTGGTGGGAACTATAATGATTTTGGAAATTATAGTGGACAACAGCAGTTAAACTATGGACCCATGATAGGGGGCAGTTTTAGTGGAAGAAGCTTGGGCAGCCCCTATGGTGGTGGTTATGGATCTGGTGGTGGAAGTGGTGGATACGGTAGCAGAAGGTTCCAAAAACTCAGCAGAAAAGGGCTACAGCTCTTAGGAGAGCGAGGAGTTGTCAGGAAACTTGCAGGTTACTTTAAGACAGTCATCCCAAATACATTAGGGGAACTGTAAAAGTCTGCCACAGAAGGAATGATGATCCATAGTCAGAAAAATTACTGCAGCTTGCACAGGAAACCCTTCTTGTTTAGGACTGTCATAGCCACAGTTCGCAAAAAGTACAGCTATTGATTAATGCAATGTACTGTCAATTAGATGTACATTCCTGACGTCTTTTATCTGTTGTAGCTTTTTCTTTTTCTTTTCATTACATCAGGTATATTGCCCTGTAAATTGTAATAATGGTACCAAGAATAAAAAATTAAGGAATTTTTAACTTTTCAAAAAAAAAAAGGTTTCATGTAAGAATGTCTTTGATGATACAGTAAAAATTATTCATTTTATTAAATTCCAATCCTTGAGTACACATCTTTATAATATTCTGCATGAGAAAATAGGAGGTAGACATAAAGCACTTTTGCTACAATCCAAAGTGTGAAGGTTGTCTTGTGAAAAACCACCTCTACAAATGTTTGAGTTATGAACTGAATTATCCATTTTTTTTTCATGGAACACCATGATCTGACGAACTGTAACTATTTACACTTGGCTATTTAGCAGACATTGTCTCAGAGATAAATTAAGTGAACCTGTCACTTCCAGGAAGACAACTGACAGTATTTGTTGCCAATGATAAAATAAGAGTCTTCAAGTGAAAATTAAAATTTTGAAAAACTAGTATCAACTATCATGAGCTTATAGCTTCTCAGTACTTAAAGACTCTTCTGAATGAAATTGGTGATAATATTAATGAATAGAATTCTTAAAAAAATAATGGACTTTAACATAACTACAAAAATGTTATAATTTCAGATTCTACATTGTAACTAACCTTTAAGATACTATTCTTTGTCAAATTTTTATATGGTGTCAAAGGAGAATATTCACAACTATCTGAAATTGCTGTTAAAATACTCCTTTTCAATTACATATTTATCTGTATGAGGCTGGATACTTTGCAAGTACGTCAATGAAGAAAACAACCTATTGCAGCAGATTGAAAGCAGCAACCTATTTGAGAATCCAGATATCTTCTCTTGAGCCAGAAAATAAAAGATTTTTAAAAATTTAAAACAATATCACTCCTTTATACTAGTTTTTGTTGTTGTTTTGGAAAGTAGTTGTTTTTCATTGAACTGTATCATTTATATTAATGTATAATAAATTCCTCATTGTTTTTTAGTGAATTAATATTTTTAAATTTTTGTTTTAATTTTCCAATACAGTAAGTATCAGTAGATACAATCCACAGCTCACTGGAGTCCTTATTAATTTTAAAGAGTGTGATTGGGTCTGAGACAAAAAAGAAAAACTAGAGAACTGTGGTAGCATTTATCACTGGTATATGAATATTTGTTTAGAGATTGGTCATGCCTTCTACTTGAATTGGGATGTTTCAATGAAAGAGTGACCATTACTGCTGGTTAGGAAATGAATTTTGAAAATGCCAATAGAAAGTAGGTGAAATGGAGGCAGAGGACACATTCTGATAGTAGCTTTGAGGCTTTCAAATTGCATCACAGCCTAAGCCACAGTAAGAGTCAGAAGTAGCAGGGAATGGATAAAAATGTGTGTTTGTTGAACTAAGACTTTTTAGTTTATCTATTACTTTGAACGTACAACACCCTGTGTGCCATCTGTTTAGTCACTTCAGGGCAGAATCATAAAAAATGACTCTTGCTCTGGCAAGTGTGGCTCAGTTGGTTGGAGCGTTGTCTCATAGACTGAAAGGGTTGCAGGTTTGATTCTTCGTCACCGCACATACCCAGGTTGTGGGTTCGATCTCCAGTCAGGGTGCGTGTGAGAAAACAATTGATGTTTCTCTCTCATATTGATGTTTCTCCCTCTCCCTTCCCCTCTCTCCAAAAGCAGTGAAAAAAATGTGCTCAGGTGAGATTAGAAACATAAAATTTTAAAAAGTCTCTCTTAGCTGCAATTACATGAGATACTGGCAAAGGGATCTCTGTTGTAAAATACCTTTAATTGATGAATATTTGGGTGCCTAACTCTGTATAAGAGTTCTCTCATCATTTGATCTTAAATACAAATTAAAATATTTTTCCGTATGTTTGCTATCCAGTTTTGTTTTTCCTTTTGTAAATTGTTCATCTCTTTGGGGCTCTTTTGAGGCCTTGTTCTTATCCATTGATACCTGTATATGCTTTTAATGAATTAACATTCAATTTGTATGTTAAATATTACTAACCTTTCTTCTGTCACATTGATTGAAAAATGATCCTTCTAGTTTGTTGTTCTGTCTTTAATTCTGTGGACTTAAAAAAAAATAATATCATGCCCCTCCCCCATTGCTGTTCTCACATTATAAGTTCTTTGTGGACATTTTGGATAACAGCATAATATTTCATTATGAGGAGGATCCTAATTTGTTTAACCATTCCCCTATTTTGTCCATTTAGATTTTTCTATGTTTTTACTGTTTTAAACAGTGCTGCACTAGCCATGCATGTTTTCTTTTTTGTCTCTATTTAGAATATTTTCACAGAATAGCTTCCCAGAGGAAAAATTCAGAGTACAGGTTTACAAGGTCTGTCTGGGAAAAGTCCAACCATTGTTAATATGATGAGAGGATTTTGCACAACACTGATGTAATTGGGCAGCCAAGGAGAGTAGACTGGAATGCATATGTGTGAACAATGATGACTTCACTGTCTAGTCTGTGGGGGTAGTAGCTGCCATTGATTGAGCATGTGTACTGTATGGCTATTGCATTCAAAATGACTGAGTGAGTAGAGCAACAAATCTGCATCAAATTTTGCATTAAGCTTGAACATTCCTCTGCAGAAACTATTCAGATGACTAAGAAGCCCGCAGCTGTGGGCAACTGGTGTTTGGCAGTTTCATCACGACAGCGCACGCATTCTTGTGCAGTTTTTTGGTGAAACATCAAATCACCCAGATGATTTAGCCCCCCTATACCCCAGATTTGGTACTCTGCAACTTCTGCCTTTTCCTAAGCTAAAATCATCTTTGAAAGGGAAGAGATTTCAGACTGTTGATGAGATTTAGGAAAATATGACGGGGCAGCTGATGGCAATTGGGAGAACTATGTGACGTCCCAAGGTGCCTACTTTGAAGGTGACTGAGGGGTAATTGTCCTGTGTACAGTGTTTCTTGTTCTTCTATCTTCTTCAATAGATGTCTCTGTTTTTCAGTATTACATGACTGGATACCTTCTGGACAGACCTCATATTTTAAAAGCATGGTTGAATAGTTTATTTCAGAAACAAAACTAGACACTATCAATTGTCAGATATATTTCTAAAAGCAGCCATTTTTTTACTTCTACCACTCTGGCATATAGTCCCAGCACTGGGCTTTGGGTTCACACTTAGCAAGGCCAATGATTCCACAAATACAAATACTTCCCATGGGCTTTGTTAGGGGTTAGACAACTTTTCCTGTAAAGGGCCAGATAATAAATATTTTGGGCTTTGTGTGCCACATGGTGTCTATACATCTACCCAGCTCTCAACTCAGCTACTCCATTGCAGTACCAAAGCAGCCAGAGACTATGTCAATGAATGATGGGCCTATGTTCCAATAAAACTTTATTTATAGACACTGAAATTTAAATTTCATGTAATTTTTGTGTTAAAAATATTCTTGTTTTTTATTTTCCAAGAATTTAAAACTATAAAATCCATTCTTAACCTGCAAGCCATACAAAAATAGGCAATGGGTTGGATGTGGCTTATGAGCTATGGTTTGTCATAGGTTGTATTATTGCTGACTTGGTAATAGACATTTATTATGTTGGGACTTCTGGATCTACTGCAATGATATGGTGGATTTATTAAGAAAATTCTTAATTTCAGCATGTATCTGATAACTACCTTTCATATTTTATATTTCAGCTGGAGTTAACCGAATTTCATATTGGCCTGCTGATCCAGAAATAAGTTTGCTTTCTGAGGCTTGTAGTTCTGAAGATGCAAAGTTAGATGCCAAAGCAGTGGAAAGATTGAAATCGAACAGTAGGGCCCATGTGTGTGTCTTGCTTCAGCCTTTGGTGTGCTATATGATGCAGTTTGTAGAGGAAACCTCTTACAAATGTGATTTTATTCAAAAAATTGCAAAGGCATTCCCAGATGCTAACACTGACTTTTATTCTGAATGTAGACAAGAAAGAGTAAAAGAATATGAAATGTTATTTTTGATTTCAAATGAAGAACTACATAAGCAGATACTAATGACTATAGGTTTGGAAAATCTATGTGAAAATCCATACTTTAGCAATCTAAGGCAAAACATGAAAGACCTTATCCTGCTTTTGGCTACAGTAGCTTCCAGTGTGCCTAACTTTAAACACTATGGATTTTATTGTGACAATCCTGAACAGATTAATGAAATTCACAATCAGTGTTTGCCACAAGAAATTGCAAGACACTGCATGGTTCAGGCCAGGTTATTGGCATATCGAACTGGTAAGTTATGTGTTTAATTGATACACTGGGACTTATTGGATGGGTTGTATTTATCTCAGAAGTAAAGTGGGGTTCATCTCATCTATGGTACAGTTCATTTACTCTCAGATCCTAAAGTTTTGCTGGCTGTACAATATAGAGAATTTAGTGAGACCCTTGAGTAGACAACTCTTAGAGCAGTTTCAGATTTTTTTGTGGCCTTATAATTTGGTGCTACATTTATAAATCAGGGCCTGATTGTCTAGACCCTTCTTTTCTGCTTCTTGTTTTTATCATTTCACTGTTCATTGATTCCTCTACTAGAGATGGGACAAAAGAGAAAGAGAGAGAAGCAAATCATTCATTTTTGTTAACTCTTCAATATTTTATGTGTATGTAATATTAATACAAACTTTAAAAATCTTTACAATATATGAATTCAAAGTAACCAAAAGAATCAAAGTAAAGAAACACTGGCAGATTTTTTTTTTCTGATTGCTAGTATGTATTCAATCAGCAAGTAGAAAAATCAAACATTTTTACTTTATTAAATTATATATGGGCACATTTGTGAAAAGAAAATATTTTGGGGGAATTTTCTTTATTGTGATAAAATGTGGCCTTTGTATTTCCAATTGCAGAGCATTGTTTTTACATCTTACCAGATATAGAATTTTCCAAAGTAGAAGAAGAATCACTTTTTAAAATGCAGGTTTGAAATAAGGAAAAAATGCAGGCAGGAGGAGCAGTAGAGTAAGCTTTGATGAGTGGGCTATAATAGGATTTTTTTTAAACTTCTCCCCAAAAAGAAGGAAAAGAGAGAAAATCTTCAGAAAAGGTTCAGATAAATGCCACTGGGCTGTAGTCTGTAGTGTATTCTAGACAAAGACCACAGGTCAAAGTAATTTCAGTAGAATTGAAGTTCTCAACTGGTAGCATATCAGAATCACCATGGAAATTTTATTAGAGGACAAATGCTCAAATTCCAACTCAGACTAAACCAAGTCCCTAAGGGTGTGGCCTAGGCTAATGAAGTTTTAAAGTTATAGGAGGAATTCTGACATTCAGGAAGGTTAATAGGCACTCAGTTCTGATTAAAGAATTTGATTCTACTACAACAGGCAAAAGCTGTATGCTGCCAAACAACTCTAGCATAACAGTCTGATTTAATGTAATTATTTTTTTAAAGATTATTTATTTTTACAGAGAGGGGAAGGGAGGGAGAAAGAGAGGGAGAGAAACATAAGTGTGCACTTGCCTCTCTAGTGCCCCCCAACGGGGGACCTGGCCCACAACCCAGTCATGCATCCTGACTAGGAACTGAACCAGTGACCGCTTGGTTTGGAGGCTGGCACTCAATCCACTGAGCCACACCAGCCAGGGCTTAATGTAATTACTTTGTACGTGGGCAATTCATTAGTCTCTTTGTCAAAACCAACTTTATAAATAATTCTTCTCTAAACCAGGAAAGACAAACATAAATGGGAACAGCTGTTACAGCTATAATTCACAAATTCCCCTTTGCTAGTTAGAATTCAGAACATTCCAAAGTGAACATAAGGTGGGATATATGAATATGCTGTTCTTTTACTTGATCTCAGTATTTCTTGCTTCTCATAGAACTATGTATAATTAGTTCATATAGTGTATGATTCCAGTGTTTAAAGATGCAGAAATGTTGATATAAGTTTGTGTATATATTCTTTTTTTTTTAAGATTTTATTTTTATTATTTATTTTTAGAGAGGGAAGGGAAGGAGAAAGAAAGAGAGAGAGAAACATCAATGTGCGGTTGCTGGGGGTCATGGCCTGCAACCCAGGCATGTGCCCTGGCTGGGAATCGAACCTGTGACACTTTGGTTCGCAGCCCACACTCAATCCACTGAGCTATGCCAGTCAAGGGCTATATATTCTTTATTAGATACTCTAATTATAAATTTATGTGCTATTTCTGTGCAGTTTTTTACATAAAGCTGTACTTCTGCACTTGATGGGCAATTTAAAAGATTTTTCAAGGCTAATTTTTTTATCATGTGTGACTTTTTTGCCTGGAATCCAAATCCTAAATAGAATTCAACTGTGGCATGCACACCACTCCACTGGGAGTTCTTCCAGGGAAGAGATCACATCTTCATTGCCATTTTTTCCTTAGCACTAAGTGCAATGTGTTGAATGAATAAAGGAAATCTTTATATATCCGAAGATAAATGGTTCACAATCCCTTATCTAAAACAAGCCTTGGAGCCAGATGAAAAGGAATTCAGAGATTTTCAGATTTTAGAAAGGTACTATGGTATATATACTATATATTAACTAGCACTTCTGGGGGATCTGGGAAAATACCATGTAATCAAACACATTTACACAAATGGAGTAAAATGTGTGAATGTTTGCATTAAACATTTGGTCAGGTGTGGTCACAAAATAAATGCATCAAGCTGTCCAAAAAAATCTTGATGTAAGGGATTTCAGGTAAGGAATTCTAGACCTATACTCTTCATTGATGATAAATAGTAACAATAAAAATTTATTGAACACCTATATGTCAGGTACAGAGCTAGGCTATTTATATACTGATATTGTTTAACATGGAGGACAATCCTGCAAGGTAAGTATCCCCACGATAGAGTGTTCTAATAACTCAGACTTTTCATTTCACACTGTTCAGTTTGCTTTGATGGCATTATTTTATTCTACTTAGTAGATGAAGAAATCATTCTATTAAACCATTTCATTTAAAAATATACTTATGATTAAAGTGAATTGTAAAACCTCCAATAGAGTTTTCTAAAAGTAATTGATGGTACGTGCTTAAGAATTGCCTCTTGAATGCTGAGTAAATACGATCCACAAAGGTTTCATTATAAGTATGTATCTATGATGCTTTGAGGTAGCAAAACAGTGACAAAATTTATTTAGGCTCTAGGGGGAAAAAGAGTTAGGAGGGGATTATATCTAATCTACCTGGTTTAAGTGTGATACTTTAATCTCTGATTTGGGTCCTATTTTCCCATTAGATTTAACATTTTACAAAGCTGAGGATTATACCTTCCTCCTGAACCACAGTGTTGATGACAAAAGTAGATTGGAGTAGCCAAGAAAGTTTAATGTTTCAAATTATAACTTTGTGGTTCTCAGCTTTAGTACAGAGGGATGCTTACGCAAATACAAATTCCTGTGTCTGCCCAACTTCCATGGAGAAGTTGATTCAGGGCACTTCCATGGAGAGGTAGGAGTCTGCCTTTTTAACAAGCAACCAGTGGTTCTGATACAAGTGGCCTGTGGACCACATGGACAAACCCTGACATGACAGAATTGGGAGCTAAGATAACGACGCCTGTGTTCTAGAACCAAAGGATAAAGAGTTCTCTAACTTTTAGTGGTCAGAGTCTCAGGAATTTGGTTCATGATTATAAGTTGATCTCCTTCAGTGGTACACTAATGAAGACAGGAACAACCTGAGAATGACTAGAGCAGTTTCTGTAAAAATTACATATATGAAAAGATTTTTGAGAAACTACCTAATTTGTCAGCTAGTGTTGGGGCTGTGTGAAATCTACTCCATCTAACATGGATGAGATTTCATTTTAATTTTAAAATATACATTGGAAAGAATATTATCTTGGTATACTTACCTTAGATAGCAGTAGAGCAGCATGCTGATCAAAAATCACATTTTTTCCCCTCTTGACAAGGTTTAGTCTGTCTCCGAACTGAAAACAGAAAAAGTGACTCCTGAGACTTAAAAAAAAAAAAAAAAACCCACAAGATGAAAAACACTCAGTGTAGATGGTAGGAAAAGTAGGCTCTTAATATGAAGAATTTCTATTTCAGTTTTTCATTTTTTGTTTTTAATTTATACATACATTGAGCACAATTTTACTTCCAGTAAAGGCTTTGGTTTTGCAGACAAATATACTCTTATGTTTATAACTTCTGCCACTTGCCTTAGAAATTATCATAAATCCATAATTTTATTCTTTCCCCCACATGTTTTATTATAAAGGTCTTACAAGAAACAGTATTTTGGTTACACTAAAATCCCTTTCATGACAGTTTCCACTCTGTAGAGTAAGCCCTCCTCTCATTCACTCCATTCCTCAGGGTTGTGTTAATTTCCTGCACAGCGCATATGTGTTTTCTTGTTCCTGTCTTCATCTATCATCAGACTGTAAGTTTTGTGATATAGGGACTTCTGTTTCCCTCACCACTGTATACTTGGGTATTCAATAAAGGGAAATGTTTGTTATAAAATTCTTAATAGTATCAAAGGGAGTGGTAGAAGAAAGGCAAATAGGTTGGGTCTGGAGGACTAAATTTTAGTCACTTAATTTCTTTACCTGTTTTCTCATCTAGAAAAGGAAATTGTATCTGCTTTACCTTTGGGTAAAAAGAAGATGAATAAAAAGTGCTTAAAATAAATTACACAAGTACTTTGTAATATAATTTTGAAAACCCAAGTTTGCTTGAACTGAATTTGGAGAATTTTATTATAGTATCATAGCTTAAAAATTATGGAGCATCCTAGTTTTTAATGCATAAGTGTAATAAAGTTTCTTTGTACTTTTATTATAAAAATAAGTATTTAAATATGTTATCACTGCAAGGACTAATTTTAAGGAAATTGTAGGGTGAAGCCACAGTTTCATTTAATCCTCACCAATATTAAATTATTCTAGACTAAGTTGACCGATGATTGTTATGTATTCTGTGTAAATGTACCTACTTAACTACATTAGTCCCTTATTAAAATTTGGATAAATAGTTTGGTTTTCATAATTAATGTATACTTGTCCTAGACATTTGGAACTCACCCTTATGTTGGTACAAGGAAAAAGTAAATTCTTTATATGCAGAATTTCTATTTTGATTACTAAATTTTCTGTTTCATATTAATGGTTTTCAGAAGTATATCTTGTTGCAGAGATTTTAGTTTTACAGGAAAATTATAATCTTATAATTGATTTAGAAATAAACATGTCACTAACTTGGCTTTTAACTCGCCTAAAAGCAAATTATGAAGATCAGGGAAAGGACAACATATTGTTTAAATCAAAATCCCTTTCATGCATTTACCAGCAATATAAATATATGAAAGCTCATAAAGATTTATTTATGTTTGTATTATAAATCTGGACATTTTTCTTAGCAAGAACATTTGCATGAAATCTGTTTTCTGTGATCAGAGTGATAAAAACTGGTAGAAAACAGATTTGATTGTTGTGAACAGTTATATTAAATCAGAAACTTGTGTGTTAATCAATTTTATCATCTGTTAGAACCAATTATTTACAAACTGACTTCTGAGTGGAGAATTGATAGTTACATTCAATTCTGGTTACAGCTCTGAAGTGACCTGACCATGGACGCTGCCAATTTAATGATCTTCGCATATAGATCCCATGTAACTGGGTTGGTAGTGACACTGTCTAGTTATTTATTACCTAATTTCCATATTCCATGCTTAAAAGTGTTTATTTTAGTGGTTTTCTGTAATTTGGGAAGTGTCAAAAATTGCAGCTACATTTAGAAAATATGTTTCAATAAATGTTTTTATTATTTTTGGAAAAATGTTATTTCTGAAATTAACAAATCATTGACTGTTTCTGAGTTAAATGCCATTTATCTTTTAGAGGATCATAAAATAGGAGTTGGAGCAGTAATTTGGGCAGAAAGAAAATCTGTAAGTATTAAAATAATTCTTTAAACATGTAACCTTGATTTTCTTTAAACATAGTTCAGCCTTTAATATATTTTATTGACCCATTGCATTAATATTTTGTATTGGTGATTTTATTATGTTCTATAAGCATTTCTTTAAACTCTCAACAATTTTCTGGATAGATTCATTCATTTAGCAAACATTTCTTTGATGTTTTATTATATTTTATTCAGGTTCATAATTATTTTCCTATTTTTTTATTATTTACACTATTACAGTTGCCCTCACTATTTCCCCCCTTGCCCACATTCACCCAGATTGACCCCCCCAAATCAGACCATCACCACATTGTTGTCCATGTCCATGGGTCATGTATATATGTTCTTTGACTCATCCCTTCACCTTCATTCATCTAGTCCCTCCACTCCCCTCCAACAGCTGTCAGTCTGTTCCATGTATCTATACCTCTATTTTGTACGTTAATTTATTTTGTTTCTTTAGATTCCACATATAGAAGAGATCATATGATATTTGTCTTTCTCTGACTGGCTTATTTCACTTAGCATAATAATCTCCAGGTCTATCCATGCTGTCACACACAGTGTGAATTCCTTCTTTTTTACTGCCATGTAGCATTCCATTGTGTAACTGTTCCACAGCTTTTGTACCACTCATTTTTTATGGGCACTTTGGCTGTTTCCAGACTTGGCTATTATAAATAATGCTGCTATGACATAGAGGTGCATATTGAATTGATGTTTTGGGATTCTTACAACATGTTCCCATAAGTAGGATTTCTAGGCTGAAACACAGTTCCATTTTTAATTTCTTGAGGTAACTCCATATTGTTTAGGACAGTGGCTGCACCAGTCTACCTTCCCACCAGCAGTGCACTAGGGTTCCCTTTTCTCCACATGCTTTCCAGGACTCAATTTATTGATGGTAGTCATTCTGACAGATGTAAGGTGATACTTCATTGTGGTTTTAATTGGCATCTCTGTGATGATTAGTGACATTGAGCATTTTTTCATATGTCTATTGACCATGTGTTTGTCCTCTTTGGAGATGAGTCTATTCAGGTCCTTTGCCTGTTTTTTAGTTTGATTGTTTGTCTTCCTGGTGTTGAGTTCTATAAGTTCTTTAAACATTTTAGAAATTAAACCCTTTTCAGATCTGCCATTGGAAAATATGTTCTCCCATATAATGGGTTCCTTTTCCCTTTTGTTGATGGTTTCTTTAGCTGTGCAAAAGCTTTTAAATTTGATGTAGATTATTTTTTCTTTGTTTACCTTCCCTGGGAGACATATCAGCAAAACTATTGTTATGTGAGATATCTGAAATTTTACTGCCTGTGTTTTCTTCTAGGATTTTTATTGTTTTGCAACTTACATTTAAGTTTGTTATTCATTTTTAGTTCATTCTCTTTTTTAAAATACATTTTATTCATTATGCTGTTACAGTTGTCCCATTTTTTCCTCCCCTTTATTCCCCTCCACCCCGTACCCCCAACCACCATCATCCCCCCACCCTAGTTCATGTCCATGGGTCATGCATGTAAGTTCTTTGGCTTCTCTATTTCCCATACTATTCTTAACCTTCCCCTGTCTGTTTTGTACCTACAATTTATGCTTCTTATTCCCTGTACCTTTTCCCACATTCTTCCCCCTCCCCCTTCCTGCTGATAACCCTCCATGTGATCTCTATTTCTGTGAATCTATTCCTGTTCTAGTTGTTTGCTTAGTTCGTTTTTGTTGTTTTTTGTTTGTTTGTTTTTTTAGGTTCGGTTGGAGATAGTTGTGAGTTTGTTGTCATTTTTCTGTTTGTAGTTTTGATCTTCTTTTTCTTAGATAAGTCCCTTTAACATTTCATATAATAAGGGCTTGGTGATAATGAACTCCTTTAACTTGCCCTTATCTGGGAAGCACTTTATCTGCCCTTCCATTCTAAATGATAGCTTTTCTGTATAGATTAATCTTGGATGTACGTCCTTGCCTTTCATGACTTGGAATACTTCTCTCCAGCCCCTTCTTGCCTGTAAGGTTTCTTTTGAGAAATCAGTTGATAGTCTTATGGGAACTCCTTTATAGGTAACTGTCTCTTTTTCTCTTGCTGCTTTTAAGATTCTCTCCTTATCTTTTATAAAAATTTTACTTATTCTTATAGAGGGGAAGGGAGTGAGAAAGAGGATTGTAACATCAGCGTGTGGTTGCCTCTTGTGCGCCACCTACTGGGGACCTGGCCTGCAATCTAGGCATGTGTACTGACTGGGAATTCAACCAGCAACACTTTGGTTCACAGGCTGGTGCTCAATCCACTGAGCAACACCATCCAGGGCTCTCTTTATCTTTAATCTTGGGTAATGTAATTATGATGTGCTTTGGTGTGTGCTTCCTTGGGTCCAACTTCTCTGGGACTCTCTGAGCTTCCTGGACTTCCTGGATCTTTTTCCTTTGCTAGATTGGGGGAGTTCTCTTTCCTTATTTTCTCAAATAAATTTTCAGTTTCTTGCTCTTCCTTTTCTCCTTCTAGCGTCTCTATGATTTGGATATTGGAATGTTTAAAGTTGCCCCGGAGGTTCCTAAGCCTCTCATTTTTTTTAATTCTTATTTCTTCATTCTGTTCTGGTTCAATGTTTCTTTCTTCCTTCTGGTCCACACCATTGATTTGAGTCCCAGTTTCCTTTCCTTCACTGTTAATTCCCTTTGTTTCACTTTTCATAGCTTTTACTTTTTCCTTTATTTTGTGACCATACTCAGTCATTTTTGTGAACATCCTGATTACCAATGTTTTGAAACCTGCATCTAATAGTTTGGCTATCTCTTCATCACTAAGTTGTATTTTTTCTGGATCTTTGATCTGTTCTTTCATTTCAGCCATATTTTTTTTTTGTTTCAGTGAGCCTGTTACCTGTTAAGTGGTGGAGCAGTAGGTATTCACCAGGGTGGGGCAACCCACTTCACTGTGTTGTGGCGTTGTATCTGGGGGAGGGGTCAGAGAGGGAACAATTCTGCTTGCTCAGCTCTCAGCAGTATTTCAGTCACTTCGCCCAATCCTGGAAGAAAATTGGGCCCTTCTGGTGCTGATTCCCAGGTAGGTGATTTTGTGTATATTCCAGGATCCTGTGGGTCTCTTCAATGAACTCTCCTGTGGGGCAGGAGTTGCTCCCACCACTGCAACCCCCACAGGTTTTTTTTCAGTCAGAGGTTTTGAGGCTTTATTTCTCTGTGCAGGAACCCTGGGTTGTGTGGTCCGTTTTGCTCCGTAGTTGCTCCTCCTGGTTAATCCACACACAAATATGGGCCCCCCTCCCCCAGTCTGCCAGCTGCCACCTCACTCACCCTCCTCCTGCCTTGCCATGCATTCTCTCTACCCCAGCTGCCCATTTCTGCCCCTCCTCCTGGTCTGGATGAATATTTCTTTTTTTAACTCCTTGGTTGTTGGACTTCCATACTGTTCGATTTTCTGGCAGTTTTGATTATTTTTTTGTTTTTAAATTTGTTGTTGTCCTTCTTTTGGTTGTGCAAGGGAGCAAAGTGTGTCTACCTACGCCCCCATCTTGGCCAGAAGTATTTTGAATTTATTGTTTTGTATGGTTTAAGTTGGTGGCCTTTCTTTCTTTCTCTTCCTTTCTTTCTCTCCCTTCCTTCCGTCCTTCCTTCCTTCCTTCCTTCCTGTCTTCTCTTCCTTCCTTCCTTGTCTCTCTCTCTCTCTTTCTCTCTTTCTCTTTCTTTCTTTCTATTTTTTAACACTATTGAAGAAATTCTCTGTACTCTCTCATATGCTCTTGCCCCTTTTGTCAAATATTAATTGACCATAAAGGCATGGACTTATGTCTGGGCTCTGTGTTCAATTCCACTTATCTGTATGCCTGTTCTTATGCAGTACCAGGCTGTTTTCATTACATTGGTTTTATAATATAGTTTGATATCAGGTATTGTCATACCTCCAGCTTTGTTCTTCTTTCTCAAGATTGTTGAAGCTATGTGGGGTCTTTTTTGATTCCATATAAATTTTTGGAATATTTATTCTAGATCTGTGATAAATACCATTAGTATTCTAATGGAAGTCACATTGAGTCTGTATATTGGTTTTGGTAGTATGGACATTTTAATGATGTTAATTCTTCCAATCTATGATCACAATATCTCCTTCCACTTATGTATCTTCCTCAATTTATTTCTTCAGTATCCTATAATATCTAAGTACAGGTCTTTTACAGCTTTGTTAAATAATTCCGTGCAATTTCCAGTCAAGGTGGCAGTATAGGTAAATATGGCATGCCTCCTTGCACAACCACATCAAAATTACAACTAAACTAGAGAATAAGAATCATTCAGAACTGTCAGATATTGAGCTGAATGGAATTCCTACAACTATGAAATTAAAGAAGAAACGTCATTGAGACTGTAGAAGAGGCAAAGATGAAGAACAAGCTGTTCCAACACCTACGTGTCATGGATAAAAATTGAGATTTTTATTTAAGGAGTGAGGGGTCCTAGCCCTATACCAGGTGCCCCAGCCCAGGGGTCCGGTGCCAGGAAGATGTCTCCATAACTTCTAGTTGTAAAAACCAGTAGGGATTGGTGTTGTGGAAGACAAACTGCTAGAGTCCCAGGCAGTTCCTCTTAAAAGGCCCATGAACAGACTTATTCGGACTCATTCCCTCCAGTGCTGGGGCAGCAGATTAAAACACATTGGACACAAACAGGGAAGAATTGAATTGTCGAGCTGAGGGGCACCTTTCTCCTAGACAGAACCACTTGCAGAGGGTAATTTTCCTTTTCTGAGCCCTTCCCCCACAGAACCACACAGCCAGCAGGTGAGGGCTATATCTGAGACTCCATGAACCTGTCTCACACTGTTTGCTCCACCCTGGTGATTCCATGAGGACCTGCCCCACCCATCTTTCAGGCTCATCCAAGCTGTTTTCAGTGGCTTCTTCATATGAATGGCTTGTCTTGACCTATGCTTTAGATTTTCCTAAACTCTCTCAAACAAGCAAACCTCTTGCTACGTTGCCC